ACACAAGGGGGCTTGTGAAGAAGGCGCAGCAGAGACTGTACTTTTTGAGAATTCTAAGGAAAAACCATCTTCCGCAGAAACTGCTGCTTGCCTTCTATCACTGTGCCATTGAGAGCGTGCTCACTTATGGCTTATGTGTGTGGTACGGAAGCTGTACTACCCAGGACAGGATGGGGTTGTGCAGAGTTGTTAAGGCAGCAGAGAGCATTGTTGGCTGCCCACTCTCCACCTTAGAGCAGATTTATGCCACAAGGTGCCATAGGAAGGCACTGGACATAGTAAAAGATCCATTGCACCCTGGTCACTGTCTCTTCGAGCTTCTGCCGTCAGGACAGAGATACAGGACGATGAAGACAAGAACGAGCCGTCTTAAGAACAGCTTCTTCTCCAGAGCGATCTCGGCCCTGAATGGGAAGCCTGGACTTTGAAAGTCATCTAATCTTCCTTGCTGTACTATACTGTATTGTCTTAATTAGTGTCTTTATGGAGCAGTCAAGTAATTTCGTTGTCCCCGAAGAGGGGGAGATGACAATAAAGATATTATTATTATTATTATTATTATTATTATTATTATTATTATTATTATTTACTAATCATGATTTCCCAGGATTCCAACACTTGAGCAAAGTTTCTAAGTAAGATACTGGACTCGAACACTGGATTCGAACACTGGACCAGTCATGCAAGAAGGTCCCAGGTTCATCCCAGGCATCTCCAGGTAAGATTGGCTCCTGCCTGAAGGCCTGGAAAGCCTCTGTTATCGTCAGTGTAGATAATGCTAAGCTACATAGACCTATATAGTCTAAGTCAGAATAAGTCAGATTTCTAGGTTCCTATGTTGCTAAGACTCTTTTCTCTGGGGACAACTCCAGTCTGGATGTAAACTTACTCTTCTTCCAAGTAATTGACCTACCAAATGCAGTATTAATTTGCCTTTCAGAGGAAACCTAAAATAATACATTCATATTTGTGTCTAAGGAACTCAGGCAATAGTTACAGCTTCTGAACAAATGTGCCTAAGTGCCATTTTCGCTCGCCCCCCTAGTTGTGTGGCATGAAGGAAGCTACTGTGAAAATAATTGTCATTCAATCCATTTGTTAAAGTGCTTTCCATTTTCATTTGAGAGCAGGTGAAGCAATAGCAATATAAAAAACGTTACGTGTCCATCACAATACTAATTACAGAAATGTTGATGTTTGTGCCCATCTTCACAAGAATCTTTGCCTTCAATATATCATCAAGATAAAATATTTCAACAAAATATCATAATAAAAAGGCTTAATTGTTTATTGTAAGCTATTTGCAGTTTCCTTTTATTCAACAGGCTGATAGCAACCACTTAAGTAATTCGCAGTCAAAGAAACTGTTCTTTGAGGGGTGCTGTCATTAAAAAGTAACAGTGTTCATATTGTAACTTTTTGGTAGAGCTATTAAAAAGGTTCAGCTCACCAATAGCTGAACTAAAATTAACATTCTGAAATCTGACAAAACCTCCAAAGAACTCTATACACAAGGGCATATTTTCAGTCTTCAGGAACAAAAGTCAAACCCATTCATTAAAATATCCACCACTAAATGTAACAGAACTTGAGTACTGTACAGCCAAAAAAATTAGGTTCTTTAACATACCTGACTCAATCTTTTTAATTTTAAACATAAATTAAAAATGATAGAGTAGTGAAAACACCTCTTTGTTCACAGAATCTAAATAGCAGAATCAATGCCTCCCTATCTTCTTTTTGATCTGACAATTACATGCTCTACCCACATTTTAAAGACTTGCCAGACTCTTAGCAGATTTCACTTGCTCCACTCATTCCCCACCCTCACTTTGAAATTCTTTCTTTTAAATAGACGCTATGCACACATTTACACACAAACTATTTTATTAGTCTTAAAAAGCAGAGACATCACCTTGCCAACAAAGGTCCGTATCGTTAAAGCCATGGTTTTCCCTGTAGTGTATGGATGTATGGAAGTGAGAGCTGGACCATAAAGAAGGCTGATCGCCGAAGAATTGATGCTTTTGAATTATGGTGCTGGAGGAGACTCTTGAGAGTCCCATGGACTGCAAGAAGATCAAACGCATCCATTCTTAAGGAAATTAGCCCTGAGTGCTCACTGGAAGGTCAGATCGTGAAGCTGAGGCTCCAATACTTTAGCCACCTCATGAGAAGAGAAGACTCCCTGGAAAAGACCCTGATGCTGGGAAAGATTGAGGGCACAAGGAGAAGGGGACGACAGAGGACGAGATGGTTGGACAGTGTTCTCGAAGCTACAAACATGAGTCTGACCAAACTGCGGGAGGCAGTGGAAGACAGAAGTGCCTGGCGTGCTCTGGTCCATGGGGTCACGAAGAGTCGGACACGACTAAACTACTAAACAACAACAACATTTTAATATAAATAATTTCAGATTTGAAAACTGAAATGTTTCCCTGGAAAACTATGTTTTGGTTGACAAGAGATTTCTTAAAACCTGGGAAGCTCAGAGGAAAAGTTCAGTTTTGCCTTAAAAGAACACAGCGGTGGATCACCCCCCTTGGCAGGGGGTTGGACTCGATGGCCCTTGTGGTCTATTCCAACTCTATGATTCTATGATTCAATCATGTCCATTGGGCTATATCTGACTAAGCCAAACTAAGAATTGACCCACTGAAATCAATGGACTTAAGTTGGTCCCAACTAACTTGATTTTAGTAGGTCTACTCTGAGTATGACTTATCTGGAAACAATCCATTACAGGCAGCCCCCGATTTCCGTGGAGGCTGCCTTCTAGGTTATGTTCCGGTCACATGCATGCATGCACAGTGAACCGTCAATTGGAAGCGTATAAATTGGTCATTGCGTGTACATACATTTTGTATCTTCCACAAACAAAAAATCAATAAATTCAATGTTTTTCTCCATAAATGTTGGTATCATTTCATGTATGAGTGGTTTCTTTGCACTATCTTTTAATACATGGAATGGTTTGCCCTGGGTTATTCATCAAAGCTAGTGATGCAACAACTTGCATGTGTAAGTTGCTGTGTGAGCTCTAAGGCTGTAGGATTAATTGATAGTGACAAGCTATTCAATTGTAATAATCTTTCTCAAGAGCTTTAAAATTAATTAAAATGAAAGCTCGAAAAATTATTTTACAGTGAAAACCTTTGGTTACTGAAGACTGAATTGACTTTGTGAAGCATGGCAATTTAAAATTTAACGAGAACATATTCCACATTCTTTCTGACTTCAAATATTTGAATTTTAAGTAAGCTTAAATTACAATCTATAGTTTTCTTAAAAATAAAAAATAACCAACCAAAAACCATGAACCAACCAACCATGTGGCTTGAGGAAAATGAATTAGCCCAAACAATCCTTCAAAACTGCTCCATGCAAAAGCAGAAGCTCAGATCAAATCAAACAACCTAAATCAACTCAAACAAGCAGTGCAGTGCAGTGGCAAATGTTGGTTTGCCATTTTATCCAGATGAAAAGAACTATGGTCTGTGCAAATCGTAGTTTACTTCCTTTGTACAAAATAGCAAACTAGAAACGGAAGCTTTTAATCTCCCACAAGTAAAGAGGAAGATGGAGAATGCAAGACCAAGGCTGCCACTTCTTATTCACGTGATGTAGTTTGTGGTTATGCCTGAATTGAATCACACTTTATCAAAGTAATGTAAATTTCTGTAGAACGAAATGCAACATCTGTAAGACCCGGACATGGAATTAGGGTCATATGTTAAGTAGAAGAATCACAGAGGGGATAAAGATGTGCTTCATGTGGGGAACTCAATGAAAAGAACAAAAAATCCACAAAGTTGTGTAAAGAATCAGGAAGATCCCAACAAAAAGGAAAATGAAATTCAATGCAGATAAAGGAAAAATGATTCAAAACGGGGAAACAATAATCCTAAATGTACGATAATGGCTTCTTAATTGAGATCTTGTGGACATTGCTTGGTGAAAGTGTAATCTCAGTAAAGTTTACCACATGCACTGTACACAATTAACATACGAAATTTTGCCAAATGATGGAGTGATTGCTAAGAGTACAAGGGGATTCAAAATGACTCTCAACTATGGAGAATAAAGGATATCAGCAATCTGTCCTTACATGTCTTTTAACCTTACCTTGCCATAGGACAAAATTCTGTTTTAAATTGTCTCAGGTTAAGCTGCAACTTCACAGAAAATCATTGCAAAAGATACATGGCAGCCAGGGGAAGATGGAGCACCCTCAGAGCCAACTTGGGAGTGGTGTTGCTGGGGCCACCAAAGAATAAAGGAAGCAGCAGTGTGAGAAAAGAGGATGGGAAGCAGGCAGGTGAAGAGGTAGGAGGACTGCTGCAAGAAAACAAAGCTGCTTGCATAAAATACTTGCCCTTCTCATTACAACAGGTGACTAAATTGACTGATAAAGGCTTGGATCTCAGATACACATATGCATGGTCCTACTGTATTGATCCCTTTCTACACCTCTGTGCTGGGTCTCTGTTAGCGTACTCACTGAGGTGAGTGGACAACCTCCAATGAATCACAGAATCATAGAACTGTTGAGTTGGAAGAGAGTCCAACCCCCTACAATGCAGGAATCTTTTGCCCACATGGAAGCTCAAACCTGCAATCCTGAGCATCAGTTTCATGCTCTATCCTGGGCTATTTCAGCCATAAGTATCACTTGTTGGCCTTCTACTAACTGATGGACTGTCAGAGTGGTACAATCTAATTTTTCTGCCTATGACTTTTAAGTGACTTTCTGTTGCATGTGACAGTTTAAATGCACACACAGACAAATGAATGTTCCTAATCTGCATAAAACATTTCCCCTCCTTTTTTCAGACTGCAGGTGGGATTTTGCAAGTGTGAGGGCCACATCAAAAATGCATAAACATAGAGTAAAAATAGCCCAAACCTTTAAACTGTTCTTGTAATTGGTTTTTACCCTTTTGAATTTTTTTTATCTTTAAGAGGCTAGACATCTGTGCCCAAGGCAAATAGCTACTCACTGTGAACCAGGAAGCAGAAATCTTTCCACATCAGTAACAAGGTGAGTTTTGTGAAACCCTCTGCATCGTATTCTACCACGCCACTATAAAAAAGCATAGTTTTAACTGTAATATTGAAGCATAAAAATAGATTCGAATATGAGCACAAGTCAGACTGTAGGGAGCCATCTCTTCCTTTGAATACACATCTGCAGGCATGGGCTTATTGCAAGGATATAATGCAGTTCCACCCTCTTTTGGCCAGGCACTAACAGTATCAAACAGTTACTCCCAATAGGACCATCAGTACCCCCCATCCAGCAGCCTTTTCCAGGTCCCTGGCTCCACACTGGTCTTAGAGAATTCCCTCTCACATTTTGCATCTACAGTTATGGCAGCTGCATGCATAGGGGGTTATTATAACATTCTATATTGATAGAAGTCCACCAGTAAGTACCCAGAGCTCCTTAACAAAAAGAATTGGGTGTTTGTGTGTGGAATAATACACTGAAGAATAAACATACATTTTTTAAAAAACACACATGCAGAATTAGAAAAAAATCATAAGAAGCAGCAATTAAAGTCATTAAGAGAGGTGGCTGAATTAAAACTTGAAAGGCTGTTTGCATAAAAATATTGTGCTGCACCTAATGAAGCCATGTGTTAGATGAAAACACATCTGCTTGTGTGAAGTGGGGCAGCCAATTTTCAACGAGCCACCCAACCTACTGTCATCACCCCAAGTGTTCCTTTAAATCAGTGTTTCTCAAACTTGGGTCCCCAACTGTTGTTGGACTACAACTCCCATCATCCCTGGTCCTGCTAGCTAGGGATGATGGGAGTTGTAGTCCAACAACAACTGGGAACCCAGGTTTGGGAAACACTGCTTTACAAGCTTGCTCCTGAGGGCTGGGGGACTTTATGGGAAGTGTGAGGAATATATTATGGAGGGTAGGTAGGAAGAAGGGGGGGGTCAATGAAAAACAAGTGCCTCACTTTGCACAAAGTCATCATTGGATGCAACCTGTTTTTAATTTTTGTGCAAAACTCGACAAAGTAGGAGTCGAGCAAATTTAATCAGGAATGACATTCCAAGGCGCTGGTCATGCCCTACCCAAAATGCAGATCAGCGTGGCAGAACTTACCATGGTGATGGGAAGAGAGAGAGGACTTAAAACTTTTGCCCCCCCGCAGGTGGCTGCTACCATTGATCTCACTTTCAACAGCAGTAATATTGACTTCGATCCTATGAAGCTTTGTCACAAATGGAAGGGATTCTTTTGTTTAAGGAAAAACTTTCAAACCAAAGGAGGCTCCTGCCAGCAAAATGGTGGGCTGCGGAGAGGTGATTTCATAGACCATCCCTTCCTGTTGCAGCCCCATGTGCAACTACGCTCACTGGTCCAGAGAGTCCCCCGACCCACCACAGCAGATGGTGAGGAGAAAATGTCCTAAGAGGTCCAGGGCTACGATTCTCAACATACATTGTAAAATTAGGGTAAGTGAAAACTGGGAGCAGGCGCACACTTCTGACTTACAACTGCTAGGATCTGGTAGCGAGCTAGAGAATAAAAAACCATTTTAATATGGTTCTGTTCACTTTTTAAAAAAGGATGTAGAAATACTTACGTTCCAAAGTGACTAAGAAATGCCGCAATATACTCTCTTCTCTTATGGTAACCCTGAATAACATATTGTACCTTGAATAAAAAAGAAAGGAAGAAACCAGTAAGGACACAGTGAAGCTAAATAATAGTACAAACTGTTCATCTTAGGGCATTTTTCTAGGAAAATGTGCTGATTTCCTATTAGTAACATAGCTTACAAAGTTATGAATGCATATCCAGTGTGGCTGGTTAGTGGAATTACAGGTTTTTCTTTTCTTTCTTTCTTTCTTTCTTTCTTTCTTTCTTTCTTTCTTTCTTTCTTTCTTTCTTTCTTTTTACATCTCCTGTAGTTGTCTGGATTCTGCAGTATGGCAGATTGGTGGGGAATCAGCAAGTGGGTTGATAAAGTAATAATGAGCTTCTGTTTGTTCAGTGATGTAGAGAAATGGGGATAATGAAAGGTGGTGACTGGGTTAAGTGACACAGTGCTAGGTTGACTACCATCCTTGGGGAAGCTGACAGTGACCTGATAAGCCACTTCCGGGTATACTGTGATTTTGATATCTTATATTGTTTTGATGATTGATTTAATTAATTATATTTATTGTACTTCTACTTTATTTTTCTTATTAATGAGCTGTTCAATGCTTTGGGGGACTTTGGGCCAAGAAGCAGTATATACCAAATTTAGAAAATGGGCATATGCATTATCCATGTATAAGACGCCTCCAGATTTGTAACCGTATTTTAAACTAAAAAAACCCTAGTCTTATACACGGAAAAGTACGGTACAGTGGTACCTCGGGTTAAGAACTTAATTCGTTTTGAAGGTCTGTTCTTAACCTGAAACTGTTCTTAACCTGAGGTACCAATTTAGCTAATGGGGCCTCCCGCTGCTGCCACCACACAATTTCTGTTCTCATCCTGAAGCAAAGTTCTTAACCCGAGGTACTATTTCTGGGTTAGCGGAGTCTGTAGCCTGAAGCATCTGTAACCTGAAGTATCTGTAACCTGAGGTACCACTGTATATATATAACAGTTCTATATTGATACAGAGTTTAACAGAATGGGATTCAAGAATATCATTTTAATATTCATATTAGCAATAAGGATAGGTAAGATTAGACTCACATAAGAGTTACCTAATGCTTTTGGCACCTTAAAAACTATCAGATTTACTCATCCTGAACGTACTATGTGACTCTGCTGTTTTTGCAATGACAGAGTGGCATGTTACGCCTTTGGAATGTCATGTATTTAAAAACCTGTAAGCTAGATACTAAAGAGTATCTATAGCTAAAAGCAGCACCCTTAGATTTCCAGGCTGCTTTGTTATGCCAAAAAGGCAATTTTATATTTATTTCACATTCTTCAGATTTACTGTGCCAACATTTAATACCCAAGTTTAGAAAATGTCAACTGCAATGCCAGTATAATATGAAAGTATATGACAAAATGTGAAATTATAAAAGTATTGTAGCTATGTTGTGCCTGTGCACAACACTCAAACAATTCTCCATTAATATCTTATAACAGCAACTTTCTACAGCTGCATTCTTACAGTAAAAAAATAAAATAAAGTATACACGTTGTTTATGTTGGCTGCATTAATGCTGGATTACCTTGGCTGGCAAACAGCTGTGCTAAATTACTTGAAATAACCATGATACAATCAGTGCTAAGAGCCATGTTACACCCTCTCAAAATAAAATAATTCTATTTATAAAATTGGATGTATTTCAGTTCATGAACAAATGCTTGTTTTGAAGGCTTTATGTGGGATCTAAAATGTTACTCTGGGAATAGGAAAAAAACAGCTAATCTAGTTTAAGCAAGCTTGAAAAAAAGTTTAAAAACAGGCTCGTGCACTTGAAAAGTAAAAAAACAACACACACAACTAACTTCAATAGAGAGCCACAACAAAAACAACTCCAAAGATAGATTCCTGCATAATTATAGAAATGCATTTTGAAAGAACGCTTCATAAAGTCATAATTTATAGGCTTCCTTTAGAAAGAAAGTTTAAATTGGAATAAAGGACAAATCTGGAATATTTGATAACCAGATTGTTGAAAGCTCTGACCACAAGTTGTCTTGTGAGGCTGAGATTCAGAATGCTATGCAAAGACTTTTCTGCTGTTCCATCTGGAGCATTCTTTCCCCCACAAACTACCACTGAAGACTGGGAGAACCACCAGACAGGTATTTCCTTAGGTACTAGAAGGTAAAATCATCAGCCAATCAACACATGCATTTTAGAACTCTTTGGATCCTGTCCTACATGAAACTTCTCATATGCATGATTGCTATCTTTTCACCTTGTTAAAGCACTACAACATATAACAGCAGCAAAAAGCAACAGTTCATGCCTTTTGGATGTGCTGCAGAGAAAAATCCCAAAGGAGAACAGCATTTCCTTTAAGAGACAAAGCAGCCAAATTTTACAGTGGTAATCACCATGTATAACTCTAGAAAGATGCATCTCCTTATCATGAAGGTTTATATAAACCTTCCCCACCTGGTGCACTTCAGATACTTGTAACTACAACTACAACTTATCCCAGCCAGAACAGGGCTGATAAGAGCTGGAGGCCAAGGCATCTGGAAAACAGGTTGTGAAAAGCTTGTTTAAATACTTTTGCTGGGCACTGGCGTTTGTTGTACAGCCTGACACCTTCCTTATCAGCATTGTTTTTTAAAGATTTTTTTTTAATCCATCAGATTCCAAGACTGTTCTTGGAAGGAACTAGCAGAATAGTTTGTCTTGCCTAAGTATGCTGCTATCTAGTCAGAAACTAATATACTCTGCCTGGGATGTGAAACTTTAGGTCTGCTCAAGAACTCAGGAACATACAATCAAATTTTAACTTTTCCCCCCCCAGGGAAGTACACTTCCTCACCTCCAAATGTCATATCTACCAATTTGAAAAGCACTTTGCCATGTAGCACGGACAGACAGACTCAAAAAGCTTGAGCCTGAAGCCCTATCAGATCACAGAGAGTTAGGTTATGCTAACATTTCATAAACAAGCCTGGCTCTTCAGGGTTCCAGCCTTCATACTGGTAACATCTTTATAAAATATCTCAATAGGATAAAAGTAATTTTACAACAATTTACCTTGTTGGTTAGGAGTTGACATACTTGGGGTACGTAATCAATGAGGCAGCCTCCACCTGGAAAAGCAGGGATGTGAAGGGCAGAAGATCCTCCAAGAGCACTAAAAAGATGAGTTCATTGAACATATTACATTTATTATTCTTAATCCTTTTTTCAAATCACGTTTTATGAACAAACAAGATCACAGTCATCCTCTAATACAAAACATTATATAGGTATAACAGTAGCATTACTTGAGTCTCAGTAAAGTACAATAAAATAAGTTTATAAAATGGTGCATGGTATTAAGGAAGTGGGTAGAAAACAGTTTTTCTCCCTCTCTCATTACACCAGAACTTGCGGACATCTAATGAAGTGGAACGTTGGAAGACTTCTTTACGCAACACATAGTTAAATTATGGAAGTCTCTCCCAAGGAAAGCAGAGATGGCCTTCAACCTAAACAGCTTCAAAGAAGAATTAGGCAAATTCATGGAGGAGACAGCTATCAAAGGCTTCTAGCCATGATGCCTATGCTTTGCCTCCACTATTGAAGGCAGTAATGCTTTCAGGTTTGAGCTGCTGGAAATCACAGGAGGGGGAAGTACTCTTGTGTTCAGGTTCTGCTTGGCTGTTGGGAATTTCATTCCTCTGTGCTGCAGATGTGTGATTGCTGTTGGTCACGTGTCTGTATTTACATTCTGGTTCACCACAGGTATCTGGTTGGCCAGTGTAAGAACAGGATGCTGGACTAGATGGGCCATGGCCTGATACAGCAGGCTCTTCTCATGTTTTTATATGTTTACGTACAATATGGAGGCACTGCTGAAGCATCGTTTTGGGTACGGGGGAGTCAGGCTCCAATCTATGCTCAGTAACAAAGAGCACTTACTGACTTTGGACAAGTCTCTAAATGTCTTGCACACAGCTGCAATCCAAACGAGAAGAGCAAATGTGGCAGGCAGATAGTGGTTATAATTTATTAATCACTACTATAAGCATCCTGGGCTCTCTGTTTTTCAGGAAAATACACCTATTTGATATTTTATACAAGGAAAAAAATGAACACAGTTCTGCATACTTTCACTTTCTCAAGGACACAAGAACACTGGATTTATGGTTGTCTTGGGCAATTTGCAAAGGTCAGGTAAGTTCCATTTAATACAATGGTTTTATGCTCATGAAATGTAAAAGGCAGTGTCTTGTCAACAGAATAAGACCTGTTTTGAAAGTCCTACAATTAATAGTTAACAAGAGAACGATTTCCCATGTGTTGAAGGGCAATGTTTCTTCATCACTTTTAAAACATGATGCAAATATCTGCAAGAACAAGGAAAAGCACCAACACATCTAGAGGGAGTAAAGAAAAAGATTAGATTGCATAAAGCACTAATGCTGATAAGGTCTTAGCTGTAGCAATGAACAGCATGTGGCATATTTGATCTCACTATTCTTAGCGCTAACTCCTGCAACACAAATGAGTGCTTGGGACTGGTGATGTTCTATCCAGGCACGTGGAAAACAGGCTTCAAAGGGCAACACTTGAATAGCAGAATGAGGAGATCAAGTCCCATTCCAAGTTGTCTGAAGACCTTTCAGGACTTATGTACATATATGTGTTTCCATAGCTCTCTGGTCCAGGAAGGAGGACATGAAATAAACCAAACTTCTCTAGTTTCCTTATCTCATTGGTTCTCTAGGCAGCTGGGTTGTCTAGAAAGCTGGCAGTAATAATACTAGAACCCAGGATCGCCCAATGAATTTGAATGTTGGAAGATTCAGGGCAGGCAAAAGGAAGTACTTCCTTACGCAGCACAGAGTTAAGCTATGGAACTTGCCGCCACACCCTTTAGTAATGACCACCAACTTGGACAGTTTTAGAAGAGCATTAGACAAATTTATGGAGGATAAAGCTATCAGTAGCTAATAGTAAAGATTGCTTTGTACTACCCCCACCTCCAGTATCATACTACTCTGCTATGAACCTTCCCATTAACTGCCGTCATCTTCAAAGACCCCACTCAGGCTGCTGATGCCATCAGAAGTTGGATAATGGGAAAGGCTTTTCAGTGATGATACACAATTGGAACTAACTCCCAAACATGTCTTCTCCTTTGTTATCTTTTAGGTGCCAGGTGAATTCCACCCTGCTCTCTGAAACTTTTAATGGTATTTAAGAGCCTTTTAACTACTCATTCAACCTTTTTTAAAAAACAAAACAAAACAAAACACTCTAGGAAGACATGGTATGGTCACTATGGGAAAGATTCCCCAAAACTGATCCCTTAAGTTGATCCTTAGACTGGGTAGACCCCAGCAAATTCTTGGACTTCGGGAAGGGGAGAGACACACAAAATCATTTAAGAGGCCAGATCAGGCCTGCAGCTCAGGGAGTTCATCACCCCTAGCCTGGCTGCTAACTATAACAATAGACTAGACTAGAATTAGATCATATCAGAAGCAAGTAATAAATAAATTATCTCTGTTGCTTGACGGTTAATTCAGGATGTTTTACTTTCATATTGAATTCTTACATGATTTGTTTTGTTATGTTTCAAAACGCATCAATATGGCTTGCAAAAGCTAAAAGATGGAGTAAAATACCTAAATAAATGAATCAAGCATTGACTCAGTAACTTCTAATGCTTAAAAAAAATAAAATCTGAACAGTAAATATTTAACCCAATTTATGAGTCTGTCACTATGATTACTAGTTCTGTGCTATTTTAAGCAATCAAGTGACTGCACTATTCTCAGGAGGCTGGGAATGCTAAGCTTTTTAATAAACTATAACCGGAAATTCGTATTTTTTCCATCTACAATAAAAATCAAGGGTGGTCTTATCAATGCAAGCTAGACTCATGACTGCCTACAACCTCTATCAGGAGTATTTACAGCTATGTATATTTTAGAAACCCCTTCATGGATCACTGCCTTGTTGTGGTGAAGGGGCTTGAATAACTCAGAGAAGCTATGAGCTATGCCATGCAGGGCCACCCAAGACAGACAGGTCATAGCCGAAAGTTTAGACCAAATGTGATCCACCTGGAGAAGGAACTGGCAAACCACTCCAGTATTTTGCCAAGAAAACTCCACGGACATAAAAAGGAGAAGCTTTGAGAAGAAAGTGAGAGTTTCCAAGGCATGCTCTGGTTCATGGGGTCACGGAGAGCTGAACATGACTAAGACGACTAAACAACAAAAACATTTTAGAAAAGATGCAAAATCCCACCCTGACAGCATGAGCATGGGGTGCTTCCATTCATAACCAATGGATGCATGCACATGAAAGCTCATACCAATAACAAACTTAGTTGGTCTCTAAGGTGCTACTGGAAGGAATTTTTTAAATTTTGTTTTGACTACAGCAGACCAACATGGCTACCTACCTGTAATTAATCTGAGGCAGCTTTTTAGCAAATTAAATGTTTTTAAATCATTGACTGGATTTATATACCAACTCTCCTCTGCGAGGAGCCCAAACTAACCTATTTAGATACTGCAACCCTAATGACGCACCACAAAAGACAGGAGGTAAGAAACAGCAGCTTTAATCAAACTGTCAACAAAATAAAATAATAAATTCATAGATGGGAGAAAACCAAAAAGGAATAGAGACTAATGGGCATGTTCCTGGACAGATTAAACTGCCCATTCTAAATGAATAACCATGTCAAATGTCTGGCTAAGCAAGCAGCAAATTGTATTCTTTCTGGGCCATATCTTTCAGATCCATCAAAAGGACAACAATAGCCTGAAGTTAATTATTTAGCTTTCAGGAAAGAGGTCAAGGGAAATAATCATCTGATTTTCATTATCTCAGTGAGGTTAGATTGAAGTGCCCAAAGTATGCCTTTCACAAACGAAACCAGCTTAAGAAAAGTGGTCTTTTCTTAAGAAATGTCAGTGATAGAAGAAATTATTCTTTAGGGGACACCATAATATACATGACCACACTGCCCTGTTCCTTAACTTTTCTACTGCCCCCCCCCCATGTGATGTTTGAATCTATAAAATAAATCCAGGTATTTCTGCCCCTCCCAGAAAAGCACTAAATATAAACCAATTTCCACTTTTTGAAAAACCGACTGTTTAAGACACATTCATATTTGTGATTATTCTTCCAGTATGCACCGTATGTAAATGTTAAACCTTGACAATAAAAAAAAATGAAAAATGAAAGTTCCTAGAAGGGACAATATATATATATTTAAAAGCATATAAATCACAACTGCTACTTCATTAAATTTCATTTCATGAAATTGATTTCACAGAGCAAAGAAACGGCAAAGGGGACATTATTACTACAGAAGCATTTTAGTTGCATAAATGATTTTGCTGCAAAAAGGAAACCAAACGACTCCACTTTATGAACCACAAACAAGTGAAAATAATGTTTTAGGGTGAAATCCAATAGAGCAGGTCTGCCAGAACAATGGACACCATTGATGGCAAAGATTCCTCCTCCCCCTGAAGCTCCCTATGTACTTCCTGAAATCTGGTCTGGAAAGCTTGAGCCCCTCTGGAGCACATTTGGAGGGTGCAGGGAAAGGAGAGGAAGGGGAAATCTGCTGATATGACACAGAATGTCACTTCAGTGATCTGCTGTCAAGTGATGCTTGCGAATGTCTGTAGAAGCAATGCGACATAGTGGGAAAATGTTGAACACAGACCAGGCAGACCTGGTCATTCCCAGTCATCACCTTGTCTGAATGAAACACACATAACTATGGGTCCCAAGAAAGGCTCCTAATTCTGAAACACCACTCAGCCATTGTAACAAGGTGTGTGCCCTTTATCCCAGTAGGAAGGAGAGAGCTGGAGTCCTCTAGTCATTCCCCTGCCTGTCTTATCTAAGTAAATGTGCTCAGGTATCAGGTGTTAGTTGCTTTCTTATGTCAGAAGATTATAGAAACTGTAGACTCTCGCCAAGCTGAGAAGACTTTATGGCCTTGGGCCATTTTTAAACTTGCTCACACACAAAACAACTGAGTTCTCAGTCTCCTTCAAGCAGAACCCCACCTTCCTTTTCTTTTCCTCCTTTCAATATCAGCAGCTTAGTTTGGGAACATCAGCTTAGTTTTCAAAGCGGGAGGCAGGCCTTCCTAGGGACATCGCAGCA